ACCAAGCCAAATTGAGTACTAATCCAACCTAACAGGGTAAACTGATCACTACAGACCCTAACATACCCTAAACCAGTCCACTATGCCCTAAACCAGACACCATCAGACCTAATTTGGACTAACCTAACCCTTAAACCAGTTAATTCTAGTCCTAATTGTACACTCCAAATCTAAACCGACTAACCTAGTCCTAAAAACCACCAACTCAGACCCTAACCCGACCAATACCAACCCTAACCAGATAAATCAGATCCTAAACAGACTTCTATCAGCCTAAAACCAATCTGATCTTACCTAATTCCGGACCCAATTGACCTAGGCAGTCCAATTCTAGCCTAATTGGACGAACATACCCCAAATTAGACCTAAACCAGTCTAAATCGGCCTTAATTCACCTCCAATAAGACCTTATTGATCTAAACCGGACAATTCTAGCCCTACCCAAACAAATCAGACCCTAATCAAGACTTAAACTAGCCTAAACTAATCTGAATTGTCCTAAACCAGACTCAATTGACCTAAACCGGACCTAGATTGACCTAAACCGGTCTAAACCGGTCATATTGACCCCAAAGCGGACCTGAACCGGTCCGATTTTACCTAAACCGGTCAACTGTTGACCAAATTGGTCAACGCATTGACCGAACCGGAGTGAACCGGTCTGAACCGGCCGGGACCGGGTTTGAGCCGACCTGAACCGATTGGAATCCGGTCTGAACCGACGAAACCGGGTCGAACCTCGTCTGACCGCCGAGAACTGGACTTGGATCGAATCGAACCAGGTTCGATTGACCCAAACCGGGTTTAACCGAGAATTAGTTCGATTAAACCGGTCTGAACCGGTTTTAATCCGAAACCCTAATTTCGGAAACCCTAGCCGCTGAGTCACCCAAGTTGACTCGGTCGTTGACTCACCCGGATTCCTCCACTCAACCCTAACTCGGACGAGTCGGGACCGAGTTTCGCCGAAATCAGGATCTTCTCCGCCGAGTTCACAGAGTTTCTTTGAAACTCGGTCTCAAATCGGAGAAAACGCGGAAAAATAAAGAATCAAGTCCAAAGACTCACCTGGTTACCGGTTCCGAAACACGTCTTGGCCGAGTCGACTTCGTAGAGGCTTCAGCTCACCGATCTTTGCCGCCGTCAATTCCAGGAAACTTCAGATCTCCTCTGTACGACGGCCGATCTCGCCCGTTCGCACCTCACACATTAAGTAGAGGATTAAATCGCTCACACATACTCGACTCGAAAGAAAAAACCGAAACCGGAAAACCCTAACTTACCTCGCCTGACCGGCGATACCCCTGGATCATAATCGGGGCTCTGATACCACTTTGTGAAGTGTGTATCGAGTCCTCACCGGTTTTGCTCCGACTCTCGTACGTGCAAGAAGAAGAAGACAGTCGGAGTTTTAACGAGTTCGGTTACCGAGCGGAGATCGGGTCTACATCTCGGCCGGATGGTGCCGACGAATCTACTAGAAGAAGAAACAGTCAAGAAGAACAGCCGGTGGTGCTCCACATCGACGATTGGAGGCTCACCGAGATTCACCAAGAAAGGAGATGCAACACACACCGAATTACAGAACTCACCTAAGGTCTTTGACCTTACCGTCTCGTGTTGCCGACCGCCGCCGCTCCTCCGCTTCGCCAGAAGAACCTCAGCCCTCCGGATTGTCTCTCGATCTCTCCCTCTCTCGACCCGTCTCTCCTCTCGAGCACCGTGCCACATACCACGTCAAGTGACAAAACCGAATAGGGTAGTAACCCTAATCCATGAAACGCGGCATCAAGAACATCCTGAAGTACTTGAGAAAAACTAAGGATATGTTCTTGGTGCACGGTGGGTTGGAAGACAAGCTCGCTGTAAAGGGTTACACCGATGCTAGTTTTCAGACAGATCCGGACGACTATAGATCGCAGTCTGGATATGTTTTGTGCTTGAATGGAGGCGATGTTAGATGGAAGAGTTCTAGGCAAGCGACAGTTGCAGATTGTACTACAGAAGCTGAGTATATTGCAGCGTCGAACGCAACAAAGGAAGCTGTTTGGATCAGAAAGTTTGTTGGCGACTTGGGTGTCATTCCTAGTGCTGATAGCCCTATTGCTCTGTATTGTGACAACAATGGAGCAATCGCACAAGCGAAAGAACCTAGGTCCCATCAACGATCCAAACACATACTCAGACGAATTTTAAAATCAGAATTTTATATATATAGATTTATAAATTTTTTATTGTAAATTTTGTGTAAATAGATATAGAATATAGAATATTTATTTGATAAAATGAAAATTTATGTTTTATTGGTTTCTATTGTAATGTAAAATCATATATATTAGTTTCTATTATAATACTGATTGAATGTTTTTATTATTTAATTTATTGTAAATTGTAAGCACAAATTATATATAGGTTATGGATTAATTATCTTAATGGAAATATTGTTTAAATAGATATATAATTAGGTTATGGAAATTGTGTTTAAATATATATAGAATATAAAATATTTATTTGATAAGGAAAAATATATTTTTTTATTGTTATGTAATATATATATATACATTAGTTTTTATTATAATGTTTGAATGTTTTTTATTATTTATTTTATTATAAACTATAGTGACAAATTATATATAGATATAGATATTTTAATTGCACAATAAAAATTACAAAATGATGAGATGGAAGATGATGTGGCTTTAGCAAGCAATTGAAATGTCAAATGACCAATAAAATTTGAGACATTTGATAAGTTGGATGTTTAGGTGGCTTTATCAGAACTTTTTGAACTTCTTTATTAATATATATATATATATATTTAATATTTTTATAATTTCTCCAATAAAATTTTTAAACGAAAACAATTATCTTTTTTATGTACAAATTATTATCTAAAAATGATCTTACTCTATAAAATACTAAAATTTGAAGTTTTCATACATTTCTCTTCATTTTTTTTCCGAAGATCAGTTTTTTTCTCATGCGCCAAAATCATTATAACTTGAAAACGTTCCAAATTATTGATGTTAGTTCTATCGGTTTATCGAAAATCACTACAAATATTCATAAAAAAAAAGGAAAATCACTATAAATATATATATTACTAATAATTATGATTTTTTTAATAAAAAAAAGAGTAAATCAATCAAATCCTGTGAGACTGATGGTTACTTTTTAGACCGCCATCATTACTAGTTTTCGCATAAAATGCTGTGTTTTAGCTGAAGCTTTACTCTTCTGGTCTAAGATTTCCCCATACAGAAACAGAGAACGAAGAAGAAGAAATACACAGGTTGGTGACATTCTTCTTCCGACAGTGATTTTGTCAACAGCCGTTGGTTTTTTGTTCTTTGAGAACTTTCTCCACGACTGGTCGCTTGTTCGTCGTTGGGAGACTTTAGACATTCTTCCATTTCAGAATATGGTGTAAACGGAAGTAGTTTGGTCTTATTTTGTTTCGTTGGTGTAGCTTTGGTGTTAAACTATGAGGATAAATGAAAAAGATCAAAACTTTTGGTGTTTTGTGTAAACAAAAATCGAATTTTTTTTTAAAAAAAAAGTATGACATGAGGATCATAAAGTTTTTTTTTTTTTTGGTTGAAGAGGATCATAAAGTTTCTAAAAGGTTGAAGAAACTTTCTCTCTTGGGTGGATATTTTTTCAGACTCTTTGTTCCTCGTTTCCCGAGAAAAAATCGAGGCCTTTTACTTCATAATGTCAATGAAAAATGCAATCTTTGGTGTTCTGTTTCGAGTTCTTGTTTTGTTTTATTGTCGAAAAAATTGTGTGGGTTTTGTTTCATCTCACGTTTCCTGTTTTTCTGGGTCATATAGGTTGTCTAAAGATAAATTCCATGTTTCTGTTTTTTATTTTTCAATCTAAGGCACCATATCTCTAACATCAATGCCTTGTGTTTCTTTAGCTACTGTGTTGAATGTCAGCGCTGCTTTGTGTTTCTTTCATTTTGTCGAAGCCAAAACGTACACGAGGTTGTCTTGAATGACAAATTGATATCTACAATTTTACAGGTTTGTCAGCGGCCACATTCAGAGCGTTGTTTCTCCGAGTTATAGATAGAATGGTACTTAAAGATTTCTTGTTCCTGATTTCTATATACGTTACGATTGGTACTTCAAAAAAAAAAAAAGGATTGATGATTCAAACTAATTTGGAGGAATTTTTAAAAGAGAGAGTAAAATCCTTGTATGCGGCAGCAGGAGGCTGGCTATTCAACTTCTCCTGGTATGAAGATGAACTACTTAGTGGAGATGGGCTTCTCTCATGAGATGGTTGCTAGAGCTATCAAGGAAACTGGTGAGGTTTATTCTCTTAGATTTGTTCATGATATCATCATACTGATTATTGATAATTACATAGGTGTAGATGCGGAAACTGGTGCAATTCTTGATACCCTCTTCAAGTATTCGGTGAGCTCACTGTGTAATATTCGGATTCTTGATAATTATACAGGTGGAGTTTCATTTCCTTCTTTTCTTTTCTTTTTTTGGGAAGGGGAACACTGAGACAGGTTCTTCTTCCAAGTCCAAGGCCATTGATGATAGTGTTGAGAAACAAGTGTGCAAAGCTATCCAGAAAAAAGGTAACTGCATATCACTTTTCTCTCAAGTGAGAGACTTGACAAAGATTTCTAACTCATTCACACCATCATTTAGGAGAAGACGACATAGAGGCAACATGCAATGTAAATGTACTCCCTAGTTATTCGGTAAGTTATGTTGCCGTCCAAGATGTTTTGTTTTTGCACGTCAGTGATATTCAAGTTATACGATCTCTTTGTAGGATGATGAGAAATCACGTAAAGCATCGGAAGTTTGTGAGATTGATTGGTCGTCAGATGATGATGATGATGAGGACGACGACCCTTTTGAGAATTCTTCGAATGGGGAGGTATTTTATGTGGTTTCGTGTCTCGGAAGCAAATTATATGAATGCATTCATATATTATATAATTTACAACATGTTAGGATGTAAGTGTTGGTTATTTGGTTCAAGTCTTTGGTTCAAAGTATCGGTTATTTCGGAAGTTACAGAAGAAGTTATTGAATCAGTTTTATGTCGTTTTTTAGTGGTTTAGTAACCATTAATTTGTGTATAAAAGGAAGAGTAGAAGACTGTATATGGTATTGCAGATTTCTTTGTCTGTAATCCTATTCGGTTTCATTACCGAATAGATGTGTGTACGTAAAGTGTATATGTATTGTTTTTTTTTAATCAGATAATAAAACAGTTGTTGCAGATATGTTTTATTGCAGATTTATGAGAAAATAACAGTGGTATCAGAGCAAAAATGATCTTACGGGATCTGTGGTGTTTCGTTTGGACGCCGTGGTGGAGATGGAGGATTCCGGCCAGTGGTTACAGTGACGAACAGAAGAAGAAGATGAAGATATGGGTGTTGTCGGATCTGTCGGCATCAGAAAACGAAATGGCGGAGATAAGTTCGGGGCTCAAGGCTCGAGCCAGATTCGGGTCTGGATCCGATCATTGACGCGGTGATTTGGGCGAGCATGGGTTTCGCGTAACCAAGATTAATTTGGATTCAGATTATGAAGACAAATATCAAAACTGGGAAGGAGTTTGGTTGGTGTGTCAAACGCTGCGGAGCCATGCGGCGGAGATGGCGGTTTCAAGGGAAACAATTATCGAAGGGATTTTGAAAGATACATGCAATGGTCAAAGTGATATTGAAAGACCATGTGTATTGTGTCGAAAACCTGTAGTTACAAATACTACAGACTGATTTACTGAGTTTACTCAGTGTATGGTAAATTTTTCAGGAAGTCTCACGTACTAGTGATGGTGCCCATGAGAAAGGGAACCGAGATTACAGATCGAGCGAGACTTTGATTGAGGAGGAGTGTGTCGTGCTCCGACCATGAAGACAGCGTTGAAACTTCAAGAAAGGAAGCGAAAAAGATTGATGTAAGGTTGATATGGGTTTATGCCTCAATTAGGTAAACCCGAAAGTTGCGTATCCGAGAAGGGGCAAATGTGCACTCGGAAAACGCATTTGAGATCTCGAGATGGGGCAGTTCTGCACTCGGGAGAAAAAGGCCATTGCTACGAAGGAAGGAATATGCATCGAAGTCTAATCTAGACGAAGGTTTATGATGTTTACAAGACATTGAACCAAGGAGGAGTTTGTTGGTTATTTGGTTCAAGTCTTTGGTTCAAAGTATCGGTTATTTCGGAAGTTACAGAAGAAGTTATTGAATCAGTTTTATGTCGTTTTTTAGTGGTTTAGTAACCATTAATTTGTGTATAAAAGGAAGAGTAGAAGACTGTATATGGTATTGCAGATTTCTTTGTCTGTAATCCTATTCGGTTTCATTACCGAATAGATGTGTGTACGTAAAGTGTATATGTATTGTTTTTTTTAATCAGATAATAAAACAGTTGTTGCAGATATGTTTTATTGCAGATTTATGAGAAAATAACAGTAAGTTGCATATCTGAAGACACAAAACTGAGTTGGTTGATGAGCATGGGTTTCACAAAGGAAGATGTTTCTACTGCCATACACAGATGCGGTAATAAGTATTCTTTTTGGCAGTTGAAGAATTTCTTCTCCATGTTTCTTACAAAGTTTAACGTTATGGCCTCAGTTTGTGTGTTAGGCTAAACTTTGTGGTTTTGTGTATCTATTCCTTTTCTTAATAGATCTTTAACTTCTCCATGTCTCTCTTGGTTATTGTTTCAGGAGAAAATGCTCAGATTGACGTCTTGGCAGATTTCATCTTCGCTTTTCAGTTGGCAAGGCAATCTGCCGAGTTTTTCGTAGAGCCTAATGAAGAGAAGGTATACCTATCGTTAACAAATCTGGACTTGCTTCCACTGTGATTAAAGTTGGAGAAATTACCGTAGAGACAATAACTTTGTATGATATTATGAATGCTGAAGCCAATTAAGCAACAGAACTTAAAAAAAAAAAAAAATTAAAAAAAAAAAAAAAAAAAAAACTGGTTTCTAAAGAACTTATAGCACTTAACTTTTTACTCATAACACTTGTAAAATTTTGGCAATAAACTACGTAATAAATTTCTTTGAGCCCTTAAATTGCATTTGATCTGAAATTTAAGTTCTTTAGATACCAGCTTGTAAGACTTTAGTGCTAGAGTCTCCTTGATGAAATATTATGCATGTTCCCTATGGCTCTTTCTCCTTTATCTCTGCATAAATATTCCAACACTTTTATGCATGAGTTGATTGAATAGGGTACTTTTATGTTTAGTGCTTCAGATATTACATAATTTTTTCATTCTGTTGCGTGTTCATGTAAATTCACGGTTTTGATTCACTTTGAGCACTTTGCAGCCTATATCTTGCACAAAAAAAAGACGTGCATCGGAATATGGAACTGCGAGGGGGAAAAAACAGAGGTGTGGTCTGCCAAACCCGATGATAGGATTTGGGCTTCCTAATGAGCCCGGGGGGTTGGTGTCACAGAGAACGCTTCCAGAGGCAGCTCGTGGTCCGCCTTATTTCTACCTTGAGAGCATTGCATTTGCTCCAAAGGGTGTTTGGGAAACCATGTCGAACAATCTATATGAAGTGGAGCCGGAGTTTGTTGATTCTAAGTATTTCTGCGCTGCTGCAAGAAAGAGGGGTTATATCCACAATCTCCCTATATGCAACAGGTTTCAGCTCCACCCTCCACCTAAACATGCTATCCTCGAGGCTTTCCCGTTGTACAAGAGATGGTGGCCAGTCTGGGACACAAGGACCAAGTTTAACTGCTTGCGGACAAATATGGTCAGCGCACAACTCACGGAGATGATATGTAAGTCACTCGATAATCACGATGGAGATCCACCTATAGATGTGCAGAAGTTTGTTATTGACAATTGTAGAAGGTGGAACCTCGTTTGGGTTGGGAGGAACAAAGTGGCCCCACTTGAGCCGGATGAGATGGAGACTCTTCTTGGTTTCCCAAAGAATCATACTCGAGGTGGTGGTAGTTGCGTGACAGGACGCATCAATTCTCTTGGCAATGCATTCCAGGTATGGCACTGTAATATACACATGATGAACTGCACATATTGATGCCATGCAGGAAAGTTTAGTATTTTAAGAATCTGCTGTAAAATTCACATGGAAGAAAGGAATCATATTCTCAAATGATTTCAGGTTGACACTGTGGCTTATCATCTCTCTGTGCTAAAGGATTTGTACCCGGATGGAATCAAAGTCCTCTCGCTCTTCTCGGGCATTGGTGGGGCAGAAGTGGTGCTTCATCGCCTCCAAATCCCAATGAAGATTGTTGTCTCGGTTGAGAAGTCATCGATGAATCAGGGCATCCTGAGAAGCTTCTGGGAGCAGACAAACCAGAAGGACACTCTAATTCAGTTTGGAGATGTGAAGGATCTGACAAAGGACAAGATAGAAGAGCTCATGGATCGCTTTGGTGGATTTGACCTCATCATCGGTGGCAGCCCCGGCAACAACCTGTCTGGGCATAACCGAATAAGTCGGGATGGATTAGAGGGCGAAGAATCATCCTTGTTCTTCGATTATTGCAGGATTCTAGACGTGGTTCGCCACAAAGCAAAGACGATTCAATTCTGATGTGGTGTTTCCCTTGTCAATGTTTTTGTTGGTGTGGCTAATATTTTTGCTTTAAAGGGTTAAGATCAATCTGTTCATATGGCAGAAAAGGGAACACTATGCTTTTGGGACAAAACCAAAGGATGGATACTTTTAGCATATTATAACTCAGAGACTAACTGTTTATCTGTCTTCCTTTCTTGCTTGCATGAGTCGCTGTTGTGTGTCACGAGGCAGCTAGTTGTTTGGATTTACTTTTCTTTATTTGAAAACACGAAAATAGGATTTTGTTTTTAGTTTAATATTGTATAGAGATATAAACGGGCAAATTGCTCAAACGCCGTCTTCGAGTCGCAATAAATATCTACCGTACACTCAAAAACTATAATGAATTAGCAAATGTCAAGTTTAACCCTCATTGATCAGAAAAGTCATATTTACCTTTAGTGAATGTAAACGTGCGAACGAAAACGTGTATGTGCAGGAGATAAACAAAGAAAAAAGATCAACAGTGCATGTTACAAAAAAGACAAAAAACTATAAAATATAAAGATAATCGCATATAAATACTTGAATTTTTACAATATTTCTAAATAAATATCTGAATTATAAAATTCTCAAATCAATACCTAAACTTTTTAAAACTTCCATATAAATATCCAAATTTTTAAAATTTTTTCAAATATAACGATTTTTGTTGACGACGTTAATCGACGAAGTAATCAGATTCCGTGTGACGCCGGTAACCTGTATCCCACAATATGAATTGCGTCACATGGACGATTAAAATAAAAACACAATTCCAAAATTCTGCAGGAATTTAAAATTTTTCTTTTACAGAGTTAATAGAAGAAAAATATTCATACATACTATATGATACATTATTTCAGTTATAATTATTACAAAACGTAAAAGTCTACCACCGATATAACACCAAACCATTTTCCAAAAGTATAAGTGTATCATAAGTACGTAATTATATATAATCAGTACGTGACAGGCTACCTAGGTCTCCGACATCCGATCCGTGGCTACTGCTGCTCCCGACCTCATACGTTGCGTAACAACGTCCTAAACTAATTGCTTAGAGAGTGAATTCGGACGTAACCCGGAGTTCTATTCTCATAGAATCAGGGAAAGCAATACATATATATATGCTAATAATCTAATAAACATGAATCGAAACATAGAATCACATGAATCATATATGCAATTCGCAATCAAATCCGTACGACAAGTCACAGGACGTAATCCGTCAAATCGTCTCTACGCGCCTCATGCGTAGGTAATACTCCCCATCTCTCTCCTCGAAATCCATCTACACCACAATCACCCGGATCCGACATAATTATATTTTTTTTCCACCCGAACACCTCATCCCACCCTAGCATCGATGGTACCTCTCGATACTAGACGTGTCACCTCGCTCTGGCATTGATGTCGCCTCTCAATACCAGAGTTCACCAGACGTCGGCTACAACTGACGCCATCGACTATAACGAGAGAGCCAGTCACTGCAACTCCCCCTTGCCGACCATCCGCCGCGGAAATACTTGTGAGATTCATGCCCGAACCTGACAGAGTAAGTCCGTACCATCTCCTGGGGAGATCCCAATCTACCCGAATCTCAGGTATATGTAATACCTCATCCTCTGGAGAATCATATCTCGGAATCTGCTCCGTCGCTAGCGGATATATTGGCACGGTTACCAAGAACTGTATTTCCTTATTACGCAGTAGTACTGACTACAATCGGCTATCTACGCAAGTAAGTGGGATGCCCATAACTGTCTTATCGTTCCAACGTTGGCGTGATTATGTCGCTGCCTCAATCACAATCGTATCCCATATGGGTGGCATCCGACCCAGATCGGATGTCCCATGGATAGAACGCAATTTCGCACTCATCATGCTTTCAATCACACACATCAATTTCTACAATCACGCGCTAGACATTAATTCGAACCCTTTAGAATTAATGTTAACGCCATGCCAGCTACCCAATCACACGCATTTATATAGTTTATTTACTATACATGCATTTCTACTTGCGTAGTCCTTTAATTATCTTTATAATCATTTATAGACTTCTTTTTAGTCTATCAAGTTAAATTCCGAGTTGTTGTAACAACCCAGTTTTTCAAAAAAAAAATAAAGTTCTGGACTGTCGGGTCCAGAGACCCCAGAATGGACGGACCACGACTAGACTGGAACGGACGGACCAGGCATTCCCGGAACGGACGGACTGGACTGTTGGCAGTGATAAAAGTCACGATTTTCGTCCGGATCTGGCTGAAAACGATGTTTACCCACCAATCTTCGACAAAAATCCCGATTTTTCAACCCAAGGGACCCAAAGACGCAATCATTCTGGTCTTGGTCCGGAATTTTCGTCACAAATCGCCCTAAAATCCAAATTCTTCCTTAACCATTCTCTCTCTTCATTCTCTCTAACTTCAACCCCGAAATTCTCTATCAAAACCGAAGGATTCGCACCCAATTCGGCTTCAACAAACCAAGAGGAGCATCACCAATCTTCCTATCCGTTATCCAGAACACGAGATTAACCCGATGCGAGTGAATTCGAGTTTAATTCAGAAGTTTATTGACACGGGGTTTTAAGTTTTTGAGTGGTTCGTGCAAAATTGATGTTTGATTCGTGCTCAACTTGAGATTTTATGAGTTTTAGTGTATTACCCATAGTGAATCGTGCATGTTTGAGTGTTTTTGATGAAATCCTTGGGTCTGGACAAAGTAGACCCTCGGGTCTGAACAACCCAGACCCTCGGGTCTAGACAAAGCAGACCCTCGGGTCTAGATCAAACATCATACCGAGACCTAAACTTGCCTAGACCGATCGGTCTAGTGTTTAGACCTGTGATAACCCGTTCCCGAAAATACAGAATAAGACAAAAAAAAATCGTGATCGAAACCCGAAGGATCGAGAACTGCGATCTAAAATCAAATCTCGAATAAAATTTTAAAATAATTTAGGAGCATAATAATCGCTTAAAAAAATAAAGTTCAGTTAAATTTTAAACTTTACTTGGAAGATAAGGAAGTCATTTTAACAATATTAAAAAACCTAAAAAAAAATTATAATATACTTATTTCTAAAACAAAAAAAAAACGACCATGATCACGTGAATATTTAGGATTGTATAAGTTATAACCAATACAATATAAAAAAAAATCTAACATAAATTATTTGTGTATAAAAGAAACAATATAATATATGTATATATAAAGATATATATAAATGTGTCTATGCAAGTGATGTACAAACAACGATATAGATAAACTAAATACAAAAATCCCAAATATATAAAACACACTATACATTCGTATGTGTATATGAAAAAAAAGGGGGTCTAAACATATAATTATATATATATATATATAAAGTTACGAATGTATGTATGTTATTTCAGGTTGTGCACAACTAAATACAATCCACCACAGAAAACATTAAAATGTGTATATAAAATTTAAACGAAACTTAAAAATAAAATGCTATCATAACAATAATCTTAGACTAAAACTGGACACTTTAACACACGATCGGACTTCTAATAAAAATAATAATTAAAATAAACGCCTCAAATATATATATATACATACACGCTCATGTGTAAATGTAAAGATATATGAACTAAAAGAAATATCTAATACTAATATACATATAATGTCACAAAGTATATAAATATAATTGAAATTAATGTTACTAACACTTTGCATAAAATACGCTAATCCAAATTTAAAGTTTGACACATATCTAGTCTAGTAATAGACTAATAATACCATCTATACGCACAAACTCCACCATTTGATTATCTTTTAATTTAATATTCTCCTAACCATTATTGCATATGAAATCGTAATCAATCTATCTTCTTCTTTCTTGCACAATTCTTCTCTCTATATGCAAATACCCACCGAGAGTTAATAGACCCAAAACCACCTTTCAATGTGATTTTTCGGCAAGGATATCCACACCCTCCGTTGTTTTTCACACCTCATCAACAAAACAACAAGGTATCTTCTTTTGAATCTCTTCTATCAAGAGGGATTTTTGAATCTTCAAATATTAATAGATGCATGTTGGTAAGGAAACCCATATATTAATTTAGATTATAATAAAGCTTACTAAAACATTTTTCTTTAAAAGATAACTCATATCTAAATATCAAACACCAAATATAAAAGTTCTGATTTTCAAACCTTCAAACTCCTTTGAAAACTTTATGCATATCTAAATTTATTTGGGTTTTAGTCATTTTAAAAGGGATATAAACCATTTCCAAAGTAAATTCCCTCTTCAAACGTCCATTGGATTTGTTTGAAGGAATAATCTGATTTTCTTTACTTTTTCTAAAGAAGTTCCTTGAACCCATATTTTGATTCCAAACTTATGACTCACGTCAAATGAAATGATCCAAAATTTTAAAACTAAACATGAGGTTTCAAAGGGAAACAATACCTACGAGTCAAACATAGCCAAACCTCTTTTATGATAATAATTATAAATCAGTTAATGATATAAAAACATGTCAATAGGTGGAAATAATTCAGAAGTGCAAAGAAGAATTATCATTAAGAGTTTGAGCAGAAAAATTTCAAGGTGAGTGAATTTGGATGTGGCTTTGAGAATTTTATTTTTATTGATTTTGGAGTTTGAGTGTTGTATGCATATTTGATGATTGATTCGGGTTAAATTTGTAAATTTAGTTGTCATTGTTTTGGAGTAGAAAATAACGTTCTGATATATTATTTATAATGTGGTCATGTATAAAATCGGTTTTTGTTATAGTTGTAAATTTGTAAGATAATTGGAAAAAAAAAGTTACAATAATGAATAGATAAATAAATAAAATTCAAATGATTATTTAAAAAGAAAATAATAATAAATAACAATAATAGAAATAGTATAACCGGTAAATATATGGGATGTAGAGTTTAAATTAAAACGGTAGAATTGCATGACGTTAACAATATACCGGATGGATCCGTATATTGTGAAACGTATGATTGTAGGCGGGTAATCTTATAAATAATAAAATGATGATTGCATTTACTGAAGTCTCCGATGTATATATGATAATCGATCCGGATCGATTGTCATACCGCGGTGACGTGTTTGTGATTGCGGCGATCTTCATATCGCGCCGCCGTTTTCTGATAAATGGTTATGGCATCTAGAGACTCACGCATTCGGGTTTGCGTGTGTCACTCGAATGCGTGACGAGGAAGTACGGTTCTTTGGCAACCGTGCCAACATTCCATTGGCCATGGAACGGACTTCGGGTTTGCGTGTGTCACCCGTTGATTGGCAAATAAACCTGAGACCCGGGTAGTTGCGTGTGTCCCCCGGCGAGGTGGTACGGATATACTCTGAAAGACTTGAGCTCGGGCCTGATGAGTATTTTCCGAGGCGGATGGTCGGCGAGAGGGAGTTAGCATAGAGCTGCTTCGCTTGGTAGTCGGCGGCATCGGGAATCGATGTCTGGAGTGGGTATGGGGATGATCGGTACCGAGAGCCGTGATATCGGTGACCGATGAGGAGTATGAAGATCACTTGAGGTCCTCACAAACGATTTTGCTTGGACTGATGCGCCTCGTGTTCGACACATGCATGAATGAGTTGTATTTACCGACGTATGAGATACATGTAGAGACGATTGACGGATTTGTTTGAGATTGTTGATTGACTGCACGATGTTTGACTTGATTGATATACCTCGTCGCATGTATACGTATATTATTGATTATATTGCTTGGCCGTTCTCAATAAAAATAGAAATCTCGGGTTACACCCAGATTCCTCCCTAAGCACATAGCTTAGGACGTTGTTACGCAACGTTTCAGGTCGAGAGCGACAATATTGGTTGAGGCAGACATGAGACCCTGTGACAGCTCGATTTCCAGATCATGTATAATTAGCTTTATCGCATTTCTCTTTCGAAAATAAAGAGTGGTATACTTTGAACTTTTGTATTATAGTTTTCGTATCACTCATATTATGTACGGGTATCTTTGCGTACGTATGTAAACGTACTTATTTATTTGATAATGTATTACGCTGTATTATAATTAAAATGAATGTTTTAAATTCCCGCTATTTTATATTCGAAATTTTACGGTTGTGATTTTTATTGTCCATGTGGCACGTCCTGTATGCGGGATGCAGGATACGGGTGTCACAAGACCGATCGGTCTGGACGAAAAATGAGTCTGGTCGGTCTGAGGCCAGACAGACCCAGAAAAAAAAAGTAACGGAACCTTAAAAATTCACCAGGTGAGAAAGTGAAAAACTAGACTAGTCGGACTTAATATCAACACGACTTAATACAGTGAAAAAGTGAAAATCTAAAATAAACCGAAAATACGGGTCAGACCGGACCCCACGTAGTCTGGACCCAAAATGAATAACAGGTAAGCTTAAAAACCACGGATTGAACCGAACTGGTTATCCGGACGGACCGGGACCAGATAGGTCAAACCGGAGGTATAATTCGGTAATTTAACTAGAAAGACTCAATGAAAATATACAAATGAATATAAAAGTCTACGCAAGCGGAAATGCATGTATAGTAAATAAAGTATATAAATGCGTGTGACTGGGGTAGCTGGCATGACGTTAACGTTAATTCGAAAGGGTTCGATTAACGTTTAACGCGTGATTGTAGAAAACGAACGTTTGTGATTGAATGCACTGATGTTTGCGATATGATTGCGTCCCATCCATGAGCCATCCGATCCGGGTCGGATGTCACCCATATGGGATATGATTGTGAATGAGGCGATGAATTGCGCCAACATCCGAACGATAGGACAGTTATGGGCACCCCGATGACTTGCATAGATAGCCGATTGTAGTCGGTACTATTGCGTGACGAGAAAAATACGGTTCTTGGTAACCGCGCCAACGTTTTCGTTAGACGGTGGATCCCGGGATATGAGTATCCCGAGGATGAGGCATTACACATACCTGAGATTCGGGTAGATTGGGATCTCCTGAGGAGGTACGGACTTACTATGCTAGGTTCGGACATGAACCTGACAAGTATTTCCGCAGCGGATGGTCGGTGAGGGGGAGTTGCAGTGATTGGCTCTCCCGTTATAGTCGATCGCGTCGGTTGTAGCTGACGTCTGGTGAACTCCGATATTGAGAGGTGACATCAATGTCGGAGCGAGGTGACACGCCTAGTATCAAGATGTGACATCGATGCTAGGGTGGGGTGATGTGTTCGGTCAGAGAAAAATATATTTATGCCGGATCCGGTGAATTGCGGAGTTGATGGATTCTGAGGAGAGGGTGGTTGTGCTATGCACATGGGGAGTATATTACCTACGCATGGTGCACGTAGAGAAGATTTGACGGACTACGTCCTGCGACTTGTCGTACGGACTTGATTGTGTTTGCTTACGTGATTATTGTGATTCCATGTTTCAATTCATGTATATTAGAGTACTAGTATATATATATATATATATATGTATTTGCTTTCCCTGGTTCCATGAGAATAGAACTTCGGGTTACGCCCGAGTTCACTCCCTAAGCTTAGGACGCCATGAGAATTAGCTTAGGACGTTGTTATGCAACGTTTCAAGTCGTGAGCAGTAGTAGCCGCGGACCGGACATCGGAGACCTGGGTAGTTTATCATACTGATCATGTATAATTATGTACTTTGATACACTTATGTTTTTGGGGGAAAGGCTTTGTGTTATGATGGTGGTAGTCTTTCACGGTTTGTAACAAATACTACCACTCGACTATGTATAATTATAACTTGAAGTAATGTATCATATATGTACGTACGAATGTTTTCTTTCCGCTAACTCTGAAAAGAAAAGTTTTAAATTTCCGCGGATTTTTGGAAATTGAGTTTTTATTTTTGTTGTCCATATGACGCAATTCGTATTGTGGGATATGGGTTCGGATGTCACAGCGTTGGTATCAGAGCAGTTCCTTCCACGGAGAAAGAATGTGCTCGTATTTTCACTGAAATTTGGGGATGGGTAAAAATGATTTTTAAAGATTTTATAAAAATCTAAGCATAATCACCAGGTCCCAATACTAAATAAAGTTTCTTGTCCGCAGTAGCTATGACTCTACGACGTGCTGCACCTGCGCAACGACCTGAAGGACCGAGGGCACCTCCGCCGAATAATGACATGGCGGAAATGCAACGTCAGTTCGCATTGTTCCAGGGGAACATCTTGTTGGGTTTCCTGGGATCTCATGAACGAATCTAATTCCTAAGAGATCAGTTCTAGGGTTTGCGTAGCGGATGTAAAACAAAATTTTGATAAAACCCTAAAACCTATTATGCATGATCTTGTAGAAACGTTAGAACGCTTACCTCAATCGATCCGGGGCCTGTATCAATTGATGTGTTCGTCCGATCACTATAGGCAGGAAGAATACCTTGTCCTCTACACATATCCACACAGCGGAAAGGATTCCAACGGTTGGAACTTGTCTGCTAGGACTGAAGAACACGTTCTTCTTTGCGCAAGGGTTTCAGGGATCTAACTCTTATGTTTTTCACTCTCAAAACCTCTCAATAGGGTCTGAAAAAACGTGCCAAGAGGCTTGGGAGGCGTTTTTTAAAGTTAATCCCACTTAAAACCCTAATTAGAGCGAGTTTAGGAAATTCCGACGTCTGGACTGATCGGTCCAGGCTTGGACCGATCGGTCTGGAGCTTATTTTACATCTGGACCGATCGGTCAATGTCTGGACCGATCGGTCTGGAGCAATTTCCGGACCGAGTGACTATCACACGTTACCTCCGGACCGACCGGTCCACATGTCTGGACCGATCGGTCCGGGTTGGCCTCATCCGATATAGAAAGCGTCTTTCATGTGTGTGCGACCCTGTAGCCTCATCCGATATAGCAGTATAACCCGAAATCTCTTATTTCGGTTACACAAGTCATAGGCGGTCTCTAGCAAGACACTATGACTACCTATCTCGAATAGAGTTTGTTTGTGATCCTACGAATGCCAGTGATGATTCCGTTTGATGATCCTTTTGTATGGACAAGCCACCTTATCTGATTCGACTACTTTCTCGTTCACTGAGTTAGACTTTCTGAAATAGACGACGTTCGTCTGTAGTGCGGCCACACATTTCTACAGTCTCGCTCACACGAGGGGCCCAGCGATATCTCTCTCTTTAACGAGAGGTACAAATCCCGTCTTGACTATCTACAATCCAGCACATGATTCGTTTCGTACCTGATACACGCCTTTATAGTCCTCCTGTTACGCATGACGTTTGACGTATTCAAAGCACACAACTCCTCATGTTGGATTTCGTAGATATCTCGGGTCTTAGGATCCAATCATGGAACCGCCATATGAGATTCAAGTCATGACGCTAGTCCATGTGACAATCTCATGCGGGTCATTCCAGTATTCCGTTCTCCAACGAATACCTATGATTGTGAACGTATCGAATACCTATGATCATCTATATGATCATCAATCACACATCATACTAGTCTTGGTATATCATTATTCCCACAATGATACATAAGTAGGGAGTTTAGTATTGTTCATAACAATACATGGATTTCATAACATATTTAAGTATGCAAAACATGTAATGAATGAAACACTAATCCATAAATCATAGAAAGCGTCAATACATCAAATGCATCCAAGTAAAGCTCGCAAACAGTACATCATAGAGCACTAAACCAACACATCTGACAGTTTGTACGAGCCTGTATGCCATCACCACTGCCACCGCCTGCTGCTCCACCTGCGGCAAGGCCGGAGGGAGATTTGCCACCACCACCGCCGATGCCTGCACCTCTGAAGATTCCAGAGCAAGTTATAGTGGACTACTTGCCATTCGTCAAGGAACTCCGAGCTTTGGGCACTCCGGAGTTTGAGGGTTCTCTTAGCCTGGAAGCAGCAGAAGACTAGATCATCAAGATCACCCACCACTTCAACTACATTCGGTGCCTGCTGGAGTACCATACTGAATTAGCGAGCCATCATCTGGCTGGCGCGGCTCGCCAGTGGTGGGAGGAAGTCGTATGTGAGGCTCCTGAGGACACCAATTCTCGTGGGAAGAGTTTCGGGCAGAGTTCGAGCAGAAGTTTATCGGAGGCAAGATCAGGGCCACCGTATTGTGGAATTCCTTCGTCTTGAACAGGATAACCTAATTGTTCGAGAGTACGAAGCGGAATTCAATTTGTTGGGTTACGTCCTTCTCTCAGGAGGAGAATCGAGTGCCATGAGTACCCTACGTTGAATCGGTACATCAACCAACTCGACAAGGTGGAACGGAGTGAGAAGGAGAAGATGGACGCCAAGATACAAGACCGTGGTCCATACAGGAGAGGGCCGATCAACCGTCCCTCGGTGAGAGTTGGACAGATGAGTCAACCCCGTGACAAGAGGAAGGCTCTAGCGTTTCGCCCCATGACCCCGGCTCAACTACTACAGTATAGGAGACCATGTGCTAAGTGTGGTCGAGACCATACTGGACCCTGTGAAAACACCATGACGTGCTACCGTTGCGGTCAAGTGGGGCATTTCACTGCTAGATGCACTGTGAACATAGCTCCTCAAGCCAACAACAAGCCACCGGCCTAGCACAAAAGAGATCGGGTATTGCTCCGAGAGTTTATGCTCTCACAGCTGAGGAAGATGCCCATGAGGAGCCATACACAGTGGAGGAGCCATTTACTACAGAGCCATTGACCACTTACGAGGCCACTGATGAAGATTATCTGGAGGAGGCTGACGTAGCCGCCATCACAGGTACCATTTGCATACATGATGTTGCAAGCGTCACTTTGTTTGACACAGGAGCTACACATAGCTTCTTGAGTGAGAAGAAGGCAGGATAATTGTCGATCATGGAGATCGATACGACTACACATTTTATGGTGTGTACACCTGCGGGGCAGACTCTTCCAGTACAGAGGATTTTGCATTGCATGCCCTTGACTATTTGTGGGAGGATGTTGACTGCAGATCTTATCGTCGTACCTATACGGGGTTACGACTTAATACTTGGAATGGATTGGTTGTCGAAG